ATGAAGGTGTGGAGGGGCTACACATTAAATTTGCAGGTGACACCAAATTGGGAGGAGCAGTGAACACCCCAGAAGATAAAGAATTCAACAAGATCTAAATACATTGGAAAAGTGGGCAGATGTGAACAAGATGCAATTTAACAAGGATAAGTGTCAAGTTCTACATCTGGGTAACAAAAATGAGGAACATGCATACTGAATGGGGGATACACTTCTGGGTAGCAGTGTGTGTCTGAACAAGAACTTGGGGTACAAGTGGACTGTAAGTTAAATTTGAGCAGCCAGTGTGATGCAGTGATAAAAAAAGGCTAATGCAATCTTGGGGTGTCTCAACAGAGGCATAACATCCAAATCGCAAGATGTCATAGTCCTGCTATACACTGCATTGGTCATGCTGCACCTGGAGTACTGTGTGCAGTTCTGGAGGTCTCACTTCAAAAGGATGTGGACAGAATGGAGCGAGTGCAAAGGAGAGCGATGAGGATGATCATGGGTCTGGAGACCAAGCCCTATGAAGAAAGGCTGAGGGGCTTGGGAATATTCAGTCTGGAGAAGAGGAGGGACATGATTCCTCTCTTTAAGTATTTGAAGGGCTGTCACTTAGAGGAGGGCAGGGAGCTATTCCTATTGGCAGCAGAAGATAGGACTCACAATAATGGGTTTAAATTAAGAGCGGGAAGGTACCGGTTGGATATTAGGAAGAACTTTTTTACAGTAATTGTTGTACAACAGTGGAATCAGCTGCCTAAGGAGGTGGTGAGCTCCCCCTCACAGGCAGTCTTTAAGCAGCAGCTGGACAAACGCTTATCATAGATACTCTAGGCTGATCCTGCACTGAGCAGGGGGTTGGACTAGATGGCCTGTATGCCCCCTTCCAAGGCTGTTATTCTATGATTCTATAAGTGAGCAGTGACTCACGAAAGCTCATATTCTACCACAAATTTTGTTAGTCTTTAAGGTGCTACTGAACTCTTACTCTTTCCTACAGAAGCAATTTAGGACTGATTTGGATGTGCATACAAAGTAGCATAAATTATTCATGTTTTTTTATTTCATATGTCTGCTTTAACATCTCAAGTGGGGAAGAAAGATCAGTGGGTTTTCCCAACTTGGAAGAAAGATCAGTGAGTTTTGGAAGCCACTTCAAAGTATGCAGATCTCAGATATAGACGAGACCCCCTTTAAATGATAAAGAAACAGGGAAGGAAAATACAGAGTCAGCATGCTTCTAAAATCCTTGCAAATAACCAAACTGCCTTTGTAAACGTGAGCTTACTCACACTGCAAACTATCCTTTCAGCCAGCTACAATCCTCCTCCTAACTCCTCCATGCCTGTAGCCAGCGGGGGGCGCAGCGAGCTGCATCCCCTATCAAATCATCAATGCCCCGAAGTTAGGGCAGGATGAGGAATTGACCAGCTTTCCCTCTGGTAGCTGCTCTGGCCAACAATGCAACACTCAGTCCCTCCTCAGCTTGGCTGGGGGAAAGGGAGAATCCCAAGACCCCAAGCAGTGTTCCCTCTAAGTTGAGTTAGTGTGAGCTAGCTCACAGTTTTTTAGCCTCCGGCTCACACATTTTTGTCTTAGCTCCAGAAGGATGGTTCCAGAGCAAACTAATTTATGCAGTAGCCTAAAGTGCTCACTCAAAATCTTAATGCCAGTAGCTCACAAAGTAGAAGTTTTGCTCACAAGACTCAACAGCTTAGAGGGAGCATTGACCCCAAGGACACTGAGTGGGACCTTTCCAGGGATCGGAAGCAGCAGGGAAGTGATTTACCTACAGCTTTCAGACCCTGCATTGCCTTCATCCTGCCCTGGAGAAGAAGGGAAGCTTGGGGGGGGGGTGCAGGAAAGCCGGCTAAGGAGGATGGTGAGAGAAAGAGAGAAGCCAGAGGGCCAAAGGAAGGAGGGCCAGAGCAAGAGAAAAGCAATGGAGATGAACTGGGGAGGGGGTTCAGGTGGAAGAAATCCTTCCTGGGACCCAATCTCACACATCTCCTCCCTTCTTAGAAGGCTTTCCTGAGACAAAGTCCTGTTTTCTCAGTGCCCCGCTCCACAGGCTTGATTGCAATGCACCTCCCCCCCCCCTGCTTCTGGATGACTTCCCCCCACTGAAGGAGAAAGGAGGGTTTAATGCTCACACCTGCAGAGGTGACAATGGATAGTACTTCTGCAGTGTTGGCTCCTCACCTGCAGAATGCCCTTCCTAATTTCCTGGCACCCCTTTTAGGCACCAGGCCACAACATTTTTTTAACTTCTACTTTTAACTAAGATCATTTAACTTTTAATTTTTTTACAGTTGGTGTCTAGCTTTAGAAATGTTTTATGATGATTGTTATAGGTTGTTGAATGTTTTATGCTATTTTTATGCACTGCCCAGGTTTTTGAATGGTCTGTTAATTTTAATGATTTTATGTAGTTTTATGATTTTATCATGTTTTGTCTTTGTGACAGCAGATACATTTTCTAAATAAGAAAGAAAGAACATTTTAAAAAGGTGCAGAAATAAAATCTACTTCTATAACCTAGGCTTGAATTATTTCAAAATGCTTTATGAAGAAGCAATATGATTACTGAAGTACCTGACAAACAAATTCATTCGTAGTGAACTTAGTGGGATGGAACTCATAGCCAGTTACCAAAGAAGGTGTTCAGTTAACTGGCAACTAAATGCAAATCCACAAAACCAAGGCAGAAATAACTTTTCCATAGCCTTCTAAAGCATTAGTTGGTGATGACAGAAACATCTTTCACTACTAATGAAAATAAGTTTGCTATAAAGTTTTAGTTTATGAGCAAAGATTAAAAAGCAAACCTTTCCCATCCCTGCCAAGGGCAAAAACAAGACACTCCATTATAAGGCAGAGCAAACTTCTGCTGTAATGTTTGAAATTCATCATGACTGACTTGGCTCTAAGTAATAAAACTTGTAATTGGTCACCTTTGTCAATTACCAAAAACATATAAACAGCAGGAACACGTTAAATAGGGAAATTATGAAATATTTAAGTAAGAAGACATTGTCAATTAAAACAGCCATATAAGCCTAAAGCTTTTGTAATAAAATGCTCTGAACTTTGGTATAACTTGGTGTAACTCAAAGCTTTTCAACTCAGAAAGAAGAATGCTAGGACAGGGAGATACAGCTCTCCGTAATTAGACGTGGAGTGTGTTATATCTGTCTTTTCCCCTCCATGATGTCAGGTAGCCCTGTCATGGCATTGGTATGTGGGGTTAATGCTCTCCTCCACTTTTCCTGACTGCTATCGCGGCTTTGACCTTGCCTTCTCCAGCTGTAATGAGACGGCTGGGAACCTTAACTGCCTTCCAGCTTTGCTGCTTGCTTGCTGCGCGCGCGAAACTTAACCATTGGCTTTTGCTTCGGGGGAGGGGGGGAGTTCGAAATCACTATAAGTCAGAGGCCCATATACTACAGGCCATTCTTGACACAAGCTGTATACTCGTACTTTAGTTATGGACTACCAATAAAACCACTTATCTTCTCAAGAAGCCTGGGTGTGATCCTGCTAAGGAACTTGACAAAGTGTCAAGAATCATCATCCCTTGACTCGTATCTCTCTGCTGGGCTGGCAAAAGCCATGCACAGTCTGTTGTTCCATCGCATGGTGGATGTACATATGAAAATGGTAGCAGATATGGTAGTGGAAAGTGCCATCAAGTTGCAGCCGATTTACGGTAATCCCGTAGAGTTTTCAAAGCAAGAGTCTAACAGAGGTGGTTTGCCACTGCCTGCCTCTGTATAACTGGACTTACTTCATGGTCTCCCATCCAAGCAATAATCAGGACTGACCCTGCTTAGCTTCCAAGATCTGATGAGATCAGGCTAGCCTGAGCCATTCAGGTCAGGGCAGTAGCACATGGATGATTTACATACTTAATTCTATACACCAGTGTACAATGGACATTTCCCTACATTACAGGTGAGCTACCTCAGGATAACCAAATGTGTACCACTTAAAAGCACATCAGGGATGCTTCAGATTTATGATAGTATATTGTATGTTTAAAGTTCTAAAATATTTGAGAGAACTTTAGGGAAGGACAACTCATTGCTTTAAATGCCTGCCTGCATTTTAGTTCCCCAAACATGCAAAATCCAATTCACCAATTATACCCCTTCCACACACAGAGATTTGCATTTACTTTTATTTATATTTTAGCTGCTTTTGGGCACAAGCACTGTTCAATGTTGCTTCCCGTAAAATCCTATGATATAAAATCAAGAGTCCACAGGTTTTGGCTTGGCTTTTTAGCCAAGCATAATTTGTGGTTATCAGTAAGCCCTCTGCTACCACAAGTCCACTGCTCATGCCAAAGAACTCAGAGGAGCTTCTCACACTGCTTCTGAATATATAACATCTGCCAGGTCCAAAGCTCAGATAGTATGAGATATCTTTTCACAAGTCTGGTGTGAGAGTAGGGTTTTTTATGTTGTGTTAAGCACCACAAACACATTTATGAAGGTCCCATAAAATACTACTTGATTGTCAAATATTGACTGAAATGCTGTTGGCGGAGCTGCTGTGAAGTCTTGGTATGTTTATAAACATTCTAACTTCTCAAGAGGAAAGCTGAGCATAACTGCTATGAAGTGAAGGATTGTTTGGCTAGTAAAAGCTCACACAATGTCTAACCCAGGAAAGGAATAGGCTGGGGGGACAGAGTGAGAGGTTCTGGGTTTTTTAATTCTGGTAATTATAAAGAGGAAATAAGAGGGTATGTGGCAAAGGAACCATAGGAAGAGGGACACCAGAGCTGACAAGTGGTTTTAACTTCCTGATGGAATGATAAGAAGGAAAAGATAATGAAAAGAGAGGTAGAAATACTCCTCACCTGGAGTTGGGAAGAAAGGAAATACAAGGTGAGAAGGTGAATGAGATTTTACATATTGAAAAAAGAAGTCAAATTTCTGTTAAATTGGTTTCTTACTCTGGAACACACAGTAAAAGATCTGCTTTTCAAGTTGAAGATTTATTACCTGGTTTGGCTGGCTGTGGAAGTAGGATGTTCTTGAGTTCAAATCTTCAAAGGTTGAGGGTCTTATACATGAACCTTTGTAAGGATCGTTACTTGCTATAGGTTCATGCTGGAAAAGATGATCTTTCAGTAGCAAACTAGATGTGTTTTCTGGAATTGCCTGGAAACAATAAGAAATATTTTTCTTTTTGCTGTACTTCTGATGGATCCCTATTTAAAGACATATATTAAAATCAAAATAATGTGCATGGTACAAATATTTTAGTATAAACAAATGTTACAGAATATTTATCAGAAGTAACATTGATAGAGTATGAAAAATAAAGGTTTTTTGTTAGTACACATAAACTCGAGGACAACACTCCCTAAAGAAATCTACTTAACATATAGATCATAAAGATACAAATATATCTTAGTTGAGAATCAACATTGACATCAATCCAGCTGTACAGTTTCCATGATTACATGGTATGGATATGGGACCACACAAAATCCATCTTTTCCTAGTTGGCTATTTAAACATCTAGGGAACAGTGATGTGCAGATGATTTGCACATGATCCTTTTTTCAAAAGTGGCAAGCAACAACTAGTACTAAAGTGATCTTGCAATTGGTCGGTCTCTTGACCACCAACCAACAGTAGCAATTGATCCTGGCAGATCCATGAAATAGTGTAACTGCACTTGGCCAGGGCATGTGTTTCTGTCTCCCGTCTGCCTTAAAGATCCATCAGAGCAGGCAGCGGGTAAACACTCCAACCCTTATTTGTAAGACCACAGTTAGGACAAGAATTTCCATGGAAGTTAACTCTTCACAAAGGCCAGAAAAGAGATTTTTAGGCCACATCTAATACTACTACAGATGTTTATAGAGATGGCCATACTTAATGTGTAAAAATCATTGCACAAAATCAATTTCTCAGGGAAGATACTCATTCTATGAATTGGGCAGGTAGAAACTGTCTCTTTTCTTGTACCCACCAAGTGTCAAGTGTTTTAAGGAGGTGGGTGGAGCCAGGGAGGCTTTTGCCCAGAAAGGCTTCTGACTAACTATTGGAAATTTGATTGGCTATACAGATTTTATAAAATGTTGCTTTGGCAGCAGCTGCCACCAGAGCATAATGATCTGTACAGTGTTACTGAAGTTAGTAAAGGTTTCCCTTGCTCGAAAGCAAGTCGAATCCAACTCTAGGGGGCAGTGCTCATCTCTGTTTCCAAGCAGAAGAGCCAGCGCTGTTCACAGACATTTCCATGGTCATGTGGCTGGCATGACTAAATACTGAGGCGCATGGAACACTGTTACCTTCCCACCAAAGCAGTACCTATTTATCTGCTTGCAGTTTCTTGCTTTCAAACTGCTAGGTTGGCAGGAGGTTACTGAAGTTAAGCTGTGGCAATTATTTTGTGGCTGACTTTGCCTCCTGCGGCAGCCATTTGATGGCAGCTATTATATTGCTATGCCCACCATGTCATGTCTAGAGATGTGAAGGCCCGGAAAAAAAATGGAAAAATTCGGGGAAAAACTGTTTCCCCCCCGTTTTTTTCCTGAAGCCTTTTTTGTTTTTTTCCGAAAAATTGGAAAAATTGAAAAAAGAAAAGAAAAAAAAATGATTATGGAACACTTTATTTTAACATGATGAATAAAATATTTTAAGACAAGGTGTTCAAATATTTTCCAAATCATTTCTAAATATATATATATATATGGTATCAGATTGATCTAATTTCTGTGCACTGAGGACAAGCAAGTCCTAGGTTACAAACTGAACTCTCCAATGCAAGAACAAGATGCATTTCTTCCTTTAGGAGGTGCTATTGTCACGAGAAAAGAAAAAGGTTTCAGTTTTGTTTTTGCATGTGGGCAGGTATTCTGTTTGTAATAACTGTTTGGGTACACTATATTTTTAATATGCTAGTTGTGATAATTTCATGCCAAGTAAAAATGTCCATAGTCATATTTTATGTTCCTAAAGTAACAGAATGACTTGCAATCTAGAAAAGACAAAAGAAGTGCTAATGTAGCGTTTTTTCAATTTTCCCAAAAATTTCCGTTTCCCCCCGAAAAAAACTGGAAAAAACCCTGGTTTTTTTCCGAGCTTCAAAATTTCCGCAAATTTTACATCTCTAGTCATGTCAGAATTAAAAATGTGCCCACAGTCTTTTTTAATTTATAATTTTTATTAATTTTAACAATTTCAGTACAATAGCATTGACATCTGATGAACATTCATAAAAATAACTGAACGTAACCATGACACACCTAAGTATACAAGCGAACAATCAAGATGTATGTTAAGATAAGTTGAATGCAACTTACTGTTCTACATATATTCAATACATATATTCATATAGTCAAAAATTAAGTGAACATTAAAACCTAGTATAGGGTATCACACTTAAGGCATAGGTTGTAAAGCAGAAGATCCATTCATGTCAAATAATCTAAGTTCTGATTGTAATAATATGTCTGATAAGCGTGCCATAAAAAAGCAATCCCAAATTTTATCTAGCCATAGTTTTTGTGTGTGGGGACTATCCCTTCTTTCCATTTCGAAGCTATCGCTAGTTTGGCTGTTGTATGTAAGATGATTATCAAAAGTATTTTCAAACCCATGGTTCTTCCCCCATAGATTTAGGAGTATTCACTCAGGAGTCATTGCGATGGAATATCCTGTGACTGAGCGAATTGTGTGTGTAACCATACACCAGAATTTAGCAATGTGGATACAAGCCTACCAACAATGCAAGTAAAAACCCATACATCCACACTGCTTCCAACACAGTGAGGTTTTGGAAGTATCCACATGATTCAGTCAGACTGGGGTAAGATATCAGTGCATAATGAGTTTATAAATTGTTCATCTAGTATTAGTTGCTTTCAACGCAGCAAAAGAAGTAGACCATTGGTCGTTAGTTAGCTGTAAAGCAGAAATATCATTCAATTTCTTTTGGTATTGTGGGGGGTTGGGATTTCCAGTGTGAAGCAGTATGTAGAGCAGCAGTCACCCAGAACACAATTGTGTATACCCCTGAGCTTCTTTGAGGAAGAGTGGGATAAAAGAAACACCAGCTGTTTTGGAGTAATCTTTCAGAATGGCCTGAAGAATTTTCTTTCTTGGCTCATTTATGAATGTATTGGCTTAACTTTTACTTTGAGAAGGATCAACTAGTAATTTCATTTTTGAGAAAAATCACCTTGTGCATTTCAAAAATGCTATCCACTTTGAACATTTTCTTTTTGTCACCACCTTCCCCACTACTACTCTCTTGCTACTAAAATTTTAAGGGAAAAGCCCTTCAAGGTTGAAGTGCAAGAAATCTAAGTAATAGTTATAGAAAACAATATTAATCCATGTTGTACGAGGGGGAATGGGTGTAAATTTTGGAATGTCAGATACTGTATTAAGCACAGCTGTGAGATCTAACACTGTTAATTGTCTCCTCAAAATTAAGCCTTTCAAATAAAAGAGAAGTATAAAAAAGTAGTGGATAAAATGTCTTTTATCATGCAGTGGCAAAACAGAAATGCACATATTCTTTTATGGTAGAGCACAAAAAATGTATATGAGTTGTTTATTCATCTGCTACTTTTATTTCTCTGTAACACCTGAATTTCCCTCAGTAACTGCATAAAAGCTGCCTAACTATGGCTTCTGGTCAAATACCAGAGGAAGGCTGCCCAAACCATGAATGTGGTTGTTTTTGCTATCTCAGTCCCAGAAACTACTACTACAATAACAGAGTCAAAATTCTACGTACATGTAATTTAGTTAGGGTTGCCAAATGGGGCCGGGGGGGGATCCCCCGCGTTGGCGGTCCGATTTTGGACGTGACAAAAATCGGGCCCGGGGGAAACCCCACCCCCGCGCACACATCACCCGGATGTGCCGTCGCACGCTGGGGGCGGGGCCACAGCCATTTGAGGGGGAAACTCTATGTTTCCCCCTCAAATGGCTGTGGCCCCGCCCCCAGCTTGCGACGGCACATCCGGGTGATGTAGATATCGCGTGCACGCACTAGGAGGTACCCGGGAGTCCCTGCCAAGGAGGTAAGTAACATTTGGCAACCCTAAATTTAGTGGAAGAAAGGGTAATGGCACATAACAGCTTTGTACACTCAACTAAGAGCCTGCCTTCTGAGCAGCAAAAGCTTTACTTCATATTAAGAAGAGTAACTAACGTTATCTACAAAAATAATATGTAGAGTGATCAGATGCTAAATTGTATACTTCCGACTTCCTGTATAAATTTAATCCCCTCTGCAAAGAAGCAGTTAATGATGACAACCACAATTTTGCTCAACTGTATTATGGGGACCAATTTTAACTGCCCATTCAAGCACTGGTATACTAATTATTCTGGAGCCCAGAGAATGCATTGTTCAGCTGGCATATAACTATGAACAAAACTGTGTGATCGGCTGAGAGTTACCGCAGTAAGTCAAAGCACCATTGCAAAATAGTATGCAGCTGCTGAACTATGTATCTCCAGACCCAGCTATACTTGGGATTTGTTAAGGTTTGGTTGTCTTGAGTTGACACATGAGTGAAAAGGTTACACCAGATCACACACAATAATGTGGAGTTGGTTTGGTTTTGGTGAAGTGATTTTGTTTTCAGTGAAATTCTGTATTCAGAATTCAACATATTTAATCAAATATTTCATAATTATTTGGACAGGACATATCGATACCATATTTTAGTTCAGTGTGCATTTTCATAGGATGGCTATTAAACAGCCAGACAAACAGCTCTGAAAAAACCTGAAACACATTAAAAGGTCTCAACACAAGCTACTGAAAAATAAGACTAAAAAAACTCTAAAACCAAATAGATTAAATATACTATTATATATGGTCTATATGGCACAAACACACCCAGAGACAGACATATATGAAACTCCACTTCTTTTGTACTTCCAAAGCAATTATGCACTGCCCACATTCAATATCCTTCAACCACAGTACTGGCATAGACTAGCCAGTATCATCTGTAAAGTAACCTACGCCAGTTTTTAATGCACAACGGAAATCTGGTTTGCTCCCAGCTGCTGGTATAATAATTACTGTCCTATGGTTGCTAAGAGATATTCTGACTTTTTTCCAAGACTATTAAAACATTTCTGTGTGCACAAGCAAAAGGATGCTGGGTAAAAGCAATAAA